ATTTGATTTGATTCTATTCACATCAGTTGTAATATAATCATTTTATCACAAATTCACATCCTAATAGAACATGTAAGCAAACAGTTTTTGGAAGTTACACTTTGAAGAAATTTATAACAATGACACAGATTTGTATTGAAAATAACCTAAATAAGAGAAACTGTTAAAGGAAAGAAATATATGCAAAATCATAAAACGTGTATCGATAAAAAAAGTAAATCAAAATTGTGATGATGAAAATAATGCATAAAACGATGTATTACAACAAAATCAACATAAAACGCAAAAGAACATTTACGAAATATTATTTCAATTCTGAGCTTTGGGAAAAGACGAACAGGTTAGAGTCAACTTGTGGCAATAAATAAGAAGTCAACCGATTTAACAAGAATTTCTTAAAATAGTCACGTTTTTCCTAAAACGGTTGCCTAAGAGAAGAACGAATATCTAAGCGTCACAGCAATGTGTGGAATAATCCTGCTGGTGTCTGCAAGTTTTGCGAAATTTCCGAGGATCATGCTACCCAACACAAAGAACAAGGCTCACCTATGGAACACCAAAAGTACTTAAAATTCGTTGCAATACAAAAGCTTTGAAACGTTGACGAGGTAATAAAAAGAAAAAGATAAATTTTGACGTGCGCGGTGAGAATATGACGAAGGAGGATTATTGGGCGCATCACAAAAAACACCTTCTTCGTTGCGTTGTTGCTTGTGAGCGAGTGGCAAAAATTCTTCGAATGGATGATAAAGAAATCAGCCGTGCAGGTTTTTTTTTACTCCTGAATCAGTACAACGACGTTGGTGTGGAATATTTTCTGCAGACCATGTGCACGGTAGACGCCATTTCTGGATTTGCGAGGAAGGCTTGTCAACCATCGCCGCGGTGGAGCATTGATAGATCTCCGTAAGACGATCGAGTTAAAATATTCGCAAGTAACTCACAGTTATTATAAGCGATGTTTGCGTATTCAGAGGACACGTCCGGAATCAGAAACAAGCGAAATTCACGACGCCTCGGCTTTTTCGGCCGTGGCGCGCGAAAAACCATGAAAAAAACAACGAATTTGTTCGTACCTGGTTAGAGCGCTCAAAACGCAGCTCGGTCACGTGACCGCAGGCCCCCCTCCCTAATACAGCAGCACCGCCTCTATGCTTTATCAAGCTCCATAGAACTAGCCAATTTTCTGTTACAGAATAACCAAGATTGCCAACTGTATATTTTATAAACTCTCTAGAATTTTTCATGAATACGGCTTTAAGGGTCCTTGCTAATCACATTTTTTCGTGCCTCATTTTTTGCTAGCAGTCGATCATTCAGATCGAAGAGGAATATTTTTCGTACTTTCCTTTTTTTGTATACTAAATATATACAGTAATACCTGAAGTTTTGCAAGACTTTCCGGCTGTTAGCGAGAATATGAGAAAAAATTGCTTTGCCCAGATTGGCTGACGATTCAATGTGAAGACACAGGATTCACTGCGGATTGGGTGCAATAATAAAATGGTGGGAATGCTGGCAAAAGCTAAGGTAGACAAATCGTGCAAAATCTGAGGTATTTACTGAACTTACATCTAACTCCTGTATGTTTTTCTTCCTTTTTAATCAAACGCTTGTATCTTTGCCATATTTTACCGTGCAACTAGTCCACAGTGATTCCTGCCTTAACATTGAACCGTCAGCCAATCAGAAGAGAGTAATATTTCTATCTCGATCTTCGACTACTTAGCAAGCTGCGGCCCAGAGTGGTGCAGGAATTGGAGCTACAGAGCTAAAAAACATCAGAGATGAGTACAAAATGACAAACGAGTCTACATACATACTCATCTCTTGTCTGCATTTGCCTGCAACTGTAACCATAGACCTAAGGATATCCACTTCAGTTTGTGGACTAGTCGGGGGAAAGTATAGACGCGAGGGACGCCTCTATGTTGCAGGCAAATGGTCGCAGCAAGTCGTACTGCTCAGAACTTGCTCAGAACCATCAGGCGCACGAAAATAGCCGAAATGCATGTTGCAATGAGGTTTCCTGACCGCGAATCTCAGCCCCCTCTTGACCGGAGGCTCTGTCTATACATTCTTAAGTCTATGAAGTGAATGTAGCAGAAACGAAACTCCTGATAGCAGCCCTGTTCACTGCAGTGATACCTAAGTTTCTGCAAGACTCTCCGGCCGCAGCATGCTCCATTAGTGAGAATAGGAGTAAAAATTGCTACGCTCTGATTGGCTAACACGATACAATGGTGGGAATACAAGTGCTTGTTTAGAGAGCAGAGAAACGCGCAAGAGTTGAAGTATCACTGTATGTACAGCAATATTTTAGTTACTTTTTGCAAGCATCCCCACCATTTTATTGCGCATCAAATCCACAGTGAATACTGCCTTAAGATTGAATCGTCAACCAATCAGAGCAAAGCGATTTCTATTTTTATTCTCGCGTGCTGCAGAGACATCTATTAAACGGAACGGAACAGGTTTCAGATTTAATGTACATATTGTATACCACAGGTTAAAATAATGTTTGAAAATGACAATTAGTTATTATTATTATTGTTATTAAAGGAATTTATAAAAATAAGTTTCTACATTAAGTTATAAACAGTCCTATCAATCAATATAATTATGGATTCGTATGTGATACAGGTAATGTATTATAAAATTGCAGAGTGTAAAGTGAAAATATTAAATTTGGGGTTATGTTTATTATAGATCAGACGTATGTGGTCGAATCAAGACGGATATGCTTTAGCGGTAAATATATATTCTTGTTTGAATAAAAAATATTAAATTCACAGTGTAAAATTGAAGTAAATATTTCTCTTATAGAATTTATTATCTTTGAGACATAGTCATGTTTCAATTCCACAAATTGGATCTGAAATTGCAATGACAAAGGCAATGGAACATCTACCTGCTCCCTTAGATACTCTAGCACTTTATCATTTGAGGTAACTATATGCCTATTTCAATTATATGGAGCAGTACTTTTGCTAGAGGTCTGAAAAATGAAAGCCAATGATTTATATCAAGAGAGATTTTTTATATCACTTGCGTGATGTGTTGTTTCCTATGCGTAAAACAAGTATTGAAGTACTATTAATGACACAGGTAGTATCAGCTATTGATGCTATAGTTGAGTCGAGTATAGTTCTAGCCAGAGAACCTATATTAAGTTAGATTATTAAATGTAGAAATGAATTTCTTTTTTTAATTTCGGGATGAAACAAAATTTTATGAAAAAGTAACTCGTATTATCTTTCTTCTTAATAACATGTTAATATGTTTTATGCCTACAGAACTATAACAGCAATGGTAAAAAATGATGCATTAACTATGTACAATTATCAAAGTTCTGCAGTACAATCTTTGACAAAAATACTGCAAATGCAAAAGGAAGAAAACTGGATGCTACCTGTTATGAACATGATGTGCCTAGAATTGAGATTATTAGCAGTATGTGCTGAAAATAGAAAAAATAATAAAAGCTCTAAACCAGGAGAAATCTTAGAAAAATGTGCGGATTGTCTAATGGGTTGTTTTAGAGTATGTGCTTGCGATAATAGGAGTTCAGAAGATGACACAAAAAGATGGGGAATGCTCGCACTAGTTAATCAATTACTAAAGATTTACTTTAGGATCAATAAATTACATCTATGTAAACCTTTAATACGAGCAATAGAGTCATCCCCATACAAAGCACACTTTGCATTAGCACAACAAATAACGTATAAGTTTTTTGTGGGACGTAAAGCAATGTTTGACAGTGACTATAAAGCAGGTAAGAATTAATTTAAATAAGTCTAATACATTTTGCTTGAGCTATGAAGGTATTTAGAAACAATTTCGATCTTTTACAGCTGATGAATACCTAACATATGCGTTCGAACATTGTCACAAAAAATCCTTGAAAAATAAAAGACTAATTTTAACGTATCTCGCACCTGTAAAGATGTTATTAGGTTACATGCCAAAACAGAGCTTGCTAGAAAAATACAATTTAATGGAATTTTGGGAATTAATGGAGTCTGTTAAAAAGGGAGACTTACGTAATCTTGAAAAAGTAATGGAGAAGCATGAGACTTTCTTCATAGGAGCTGGAATATATTTAATTGTGGAGAAATTAAAAATAATAGCTTATAGGAATTTATTTAAGAAAGTATATTTAGTACTAAATATACATCAGATTCCTATCCTGAATTTGCTTTCGGCTCTGCAGATGCATGGATTTAACGATGTGGATATGGATGAAACAGAGTGTATTGTAGCAAATTTAATATATGAAGGAAAAATTAAAGGATATATATCTCACCAACATAAAAAATTAGTTATATCTAAACAAAATCCTTTTCCAAAATTGTCAACAATACCATAATTATGATGTATTGGTTATNACCTGTTATGAACATGATGTGCCTAGAATTGAGATTATTAGCAGTATGTGCTGAAAATAGAAAAAATAATAAAAGCTCTAAACCAGGAGAAATCTTAGAAAAATGTGCGGATTGTCTAATGGGTTGTTTTAGAGTATGTGCTTGCGATAATAGGAGTTCAGAAGATGACACAAAAAGATGGGGAATGCTCGCACTAGTTAATCAATTACTAAAGATTTACTTTAGGATCAATAAATTACATCTATGTAAACCTTTAATACGAGCAATAGAGTCATCCCCATACAAAGCACACTTTGCATTAGCACAACAAATAACGTATAAGTTTTTTGTGGGACGTAAAGCAATGTTTGACAGTGACTATAAAGCAGGTAAGAATTAATTTAAATAAGTCTAATACATTTTGCTTGAGCTATGAAGGTATTTAGAAACAATTTCGATCTTTTACAGCTGATGAATACCTAACATATGCGTTCGAACATTGTCACAAAAAATCCTTGAAAAATAAAAGACTAATTTTAACGTATCTCGCACCTGTAAAGATGTTATTAGGTTACATGCCAAAACAGAGCTTGCTAGAAAAATACAATTTAATGGAATTTTGGGAATTAATGGAGTCTGTTAAAAAGGGAGACTTACGTAATCTTGAAAAAGTAATGGAGAAGCATGAGACTTTCTTCATAGGAGCTGGAATATATTTAATTGTGGAGAAATTAAAAATAATAGCTTATAGGAATTTATTTAAGAAAGTATATTTAGTACTAAATATACATCAGATTCCTATCCTGAATTTGCTTTCGGCTCTGCAGATGCATGGATTTAACGATGTGGATATGGATGAAACAGAGTGTATTGTAGCAAATTTAATATATGAAGGAAAAATTAAAGGATATATATCTCACCAACATAAAAAATTAGTTATATCTAAACAAAATCCTTTTCCAAAATTGTCAACAATACCATAATAATTATGTATTGGTTATATCCGCATTTTTTAAATAAATAAATGATTTAAATACAAACAAAATTGTGCTTTTTATATTAAAAAAATGTATTGAAATATATTTACATATTTACATTTTCTAACATGAAATATCCAGGTTTTCAATTATTTATAACTTGATCATTTTGTATTACTTTGAAATTTAATAAGAAATCATCAGTTGCCACTATATTGTTTTTTTTAACTTTGGGATATACATAAATTTTATGCATATAAAAATATCAGTGAATGCACCATCGATATTGTGAATTTTAATACATATAACCAAAATCACTTTTATTCGTTTCGTCGACATTATTATATACAATTTCTACAAACATTATAGATATTTCAAAATTTTTGAATGCAGTAATAGTAATTATTGAAGAATCATTTCAGGTGATATGGAGAAACGTATGTATGTACAGCTCTTCAACACTTGAACAATCATTTAACGATCAAATTGTGTAGAAATTCGACATTTTAGATGTCATCATGACATTGCCACATAACCAAATAAGTTAACGATTTAGATAATTAATTTTTTTTAGATGTACGTTCAATTGTACCGTACGTATCACGTCTTCATGTTCACGTCTATTGACGTCTATCTAGTAGGTACGTACGTATACATATATGTACATAGTTTGTATTATGTGCATACATATATGTGTATCAGGGATGAGAAGGAGGTGGAACGTAAGAGGTAAGAGTGCTAGACGACAATCGAGCGCGACAAGCGTGGACAAGCGGGAAGCGGCTGTATCAGACTGTATGTTTCGTACCGTTGATTAGTAATATTTTTTCCGTTGTGATTATACATTCGAATTGTACGACGAATAAAGTGTAATTGTGGTGTCCGAGTGGTGTATAAGACAATAAAAATTCATTAACAAAATGCTAAGTAAAATTGTTATTAACATGATGTACAACTATCGATTCACAGTGTGATTGGTTAAACCAGTGTTCAATGCAAGTATGGCCGCCCTGCCATCACCCACGCAGGTATATCGTAATTTTTAGAATTTCACGTATTATGATATAACATTCGATCTGTCGTGTATATTATTAAAAATATCAGTTGAACAATTTATTTGTTAACTACGTAAAAGTAACATTGTTACACCATACGTATTCTTACCATTTGCACAATCATAAAATCGACTACTACGATTTCTTTGACAGCATAAGCAATTTTTCGTTTCGTTTTTGATAAATACAACGTTTTTTCTTCTAGATAGATCTACATCACGATCATTATAAACAGTATGTTGTGAAAAGTTATAGCCTCATGATAAACGCTTATCTACAGATTTACGAATGTCAGTTACGATAAGCCTCACATTTCCGGCAGTTAAAATTGATAACTGCTAATATCCCTTAACGTGTTGTAGTTTGTAATTCACAAGACGGTAGGAGGAGATATAATAAAATTATTTTTACAGGTGGCTGGAAGCCATACTGCTATATATGAAGCCTATTACAATCAGGTATATTTATATTATTTTGACAATGTATGACAATAAATCTAAATTGCATTAAGTTATACAGTCGAGCCATTTTTCTTTGTTTCTCACCATTTTGCTGAAAATACAAATGAAAATATGAACTAATTTTAAGTGAAATTATTTGATACGTGTTTGATAAGTTATTTTATTTTTGTGATGTTAATTCAGAAGATGTCTGATGTAGGTAAAAAATATTGACTTATATAAGTCAAGACAAAACTATGTCTCTTACCCAAAAGGGCTATAGACAACTATTTTCTTTCGATATTATTATATGATATCATTATAGCTTTTAAAAATCTAATTTGGTTTCTTTCAAACCTTCGATGGAGTTTATATGAATTGATTTTTGTTGTTGAACATCTCACATTAAAAAATTAGACTTCTTATCGATAAAACAAAACTTATGCAACAGAAAGATATAAACTTTTCCTTTAACTCCTCGATGTTCATGCCCGTATGTATCATAAACATATTAAATTAACAAACAACAGTTTCAAACTATACGAACTTTATTTATTTTGAAACTATGTTTCATTTTCTATGCATTGACAAGAGCTTCTTCTCTCTTCGCAATCATGTTAAAACAAATTCGTTATTTATTTATATTTTTGCAATGACAGATTCAAAGTACAATGGTGCGACTGTATATTTTAAGAATATAAAGTAAAATATTCATGACATCCTACATTATTCTCAGGTTGATCCAAATGGATATGGACGAATTGGTGCAATGGAAGCTGCAAGATTTCTTAAAAAATCCCAGCTGAGTGACGATGTACTGAGCCAAATATGGGATATGGCAGATCCACAATCACGTGGTTCATTAGATAAATCTGGTCTTTTCGTTGCTCTTAAATTATGTGCATTGGCACAAACAGGTAGAGATGTTAATATGTCAAATTTAAATATGGAATTACCTCCTCCGAAAATGGTAAGCCGTCTCACAGAATAACATAATAAATAAATTTCCTCTTAATCGATTGCTATTATATATTTTTAGGGCGACATTCCCATAATTTCTCAAAAGAAAGTAGTTAATAGTTTACCAGTAATAACACCTATTAGCAATGAAGATTGGTCTATTAAACCAGCAGAGAGAGCAAAATACGATCAACTTTTTAATAGCTTAAGACCTAAAAATGGATATATATCTGGAAATAATGTTAAAGGTGTTCTTATGGATAGTAAACTTCCCTTAGATACACTTGGGAAGATTTGGGAACTTGCAGATATGGATGAAGATGGTATGCTGGATAGGCATGAGTTTATTGTGGTAAGCTTTCGATTGAATATGCAGAAAATATTTAACCGAATTACTTAATTTTGTTACGTATTGCTTACATAGGCTATGCATTTGGTATACAAAGCATTAGAAAAATACGCAATACCAAGTGTGCTTCCACCAGAATTGATGCCACCTGGTAAAAGAAAGGACGTTTCTGTACCAGTGTCAAAATCTCCTGTACCAGTAGGAATGACAACGGTTCCTCCACCTATTCCACCTCTACCTACTGTATCAGCTGTGAAAAATATGGCTGGCATAGATATGGCAAAAGTATATTGAGCATCATAAAAAGCATTGGGCATTAATAGACTATAATATTTAATTTGATTGATTGATTAATGTTTATGATTAAAACGAATTAATTGGTAAAAATCGCAATTAATTTAAACGATTAGTAATGTTGGTTATCAATTACTAATTACAAATATCGTCAATCGCTCACTAAAGCAATTAATACATAATAATAAGTATATAAATACATACATAGTATATGATAAGTACATAATTCAACAGCTATCTTAATTCTTGATAATCATCGATGATTTTTATAGATAGTAATGCGACTCTAATCCTGAACTTTTTTCCTATCGTATATAGTTTTTTGAGAACATTTTTGAAATCTAACTATACCATGCGAACAGGATAGATCGACCTCTTCCGAAAACCGAGAATAAAAGCTGCAAAGTGAATTTTATTTTTAATTAACAAAGTAAAATAGTTCTCTTTGAACATGTTTAAATGCGTATAATATTAAAAATATATGCTGATATATTTGGAAGAATCTATAAAATCATTTAACACGAGTGTTAAAAGTTTGCCTTTTTCTTTTTATTTAAAATTTGTTAAACTTTGCCCATGAGATATAAAAGTTGCTATGCTTTTGAAAATATTTTATTTAATGTAAAAATATGTGATTCAGACTAGTGTACAATGGATAGTTTCCGCTGAAGAACAAATAGCGGCTGGGAAATTGTTTTTGCAAGCTGATTTAGATATGGATGGATATGTCTCAGGTTTAGAAATCAAAGATGTCTTCCTTCAAAGTGGACTTCCACAGACTGATTTGGCTGGTATATGGTTTGTATATTTCAATTATTTTATTTGTTAACCATTTGTAAGTCGAAAGTAAAACATATTTCATGTTTTAGGAGTCTCTGTGACATATGTCAAAATGGAAAATTAAATAAAGAACAATTTGCTCTTGCTATATGGCTCATCAAGCAAAAACTTAAAGGCATTGATCCGCCGGCATCCTTGACTCCTGATATGATACCACCTTCTATGCGAAAATCATCGGATACTATTATGGTAAGTAATTTCTTATTTCTTATTAAAATATCATGAATTTTGTTTGTATGTATCATTTTATTTCAAACGTACAGTATTCAGTATAATTAACGAATAGTAAAACGTTTGCGATGTTCAAACGCTCTCCAAAACACTATTAGGAATACAGTAACTATTAAAATTCCACCAAGTATCATCACACTATAATTTACTTGCAATTCTGTTTCTCCTGTTACTTGTAATTTTATTATACCAGCAATTTCATTCTTTTGCCAACAACTATAAATGAAAATATTCGATATACAAAAATTGTTATTTAGTTCAATTTTACAGAAATGCATATGTACCTGTAAATATTTGTATCTTCGAATTTTAATGAGTTCACGATTATATGCGTTTGGGCATTGATATGAATTCTTCCCTCCGATTGTTTTTCGATAACAGATGGATGTAATAATTCATTATTCACTTTCCAAGTAATCGGTACATCTGTGTTTAAATTTCTAAACATATTTTTAGCAAAAATATGCGATCTTGAACTAAAATTTGTTTATTTATTAACTTACCCTGGGCATATGAGTATTGCTTTCGTCTCATATTTCTTGAAAATCACTGTGCGTATAACTGGTGGTGATGGAATAGGCATTCCTTGAACTACAGAATAGATACCAGCACTATTGTTGGCACTTTCAAGAACATTTCCATGTTTATCGCGCACCTCAAATATCTCGTTTTTTGAACATTTTACCTTAACAGAAAATATATTAAAGTGCGTAAAATTTGTAATATATTTTTAAATATTAAATGTATATGTATACCCCGTTCATGAAAAGATGGCACGGATTTGAGATATGGGGGAACCCGCTCTTAAATATAATCCAATGTATAGTAGACAGATGGGATATCAGGTGTGGGGATTAGATCCCTACAAGTTTTTCTGTGCCATCTTTTTGTACACATATTTGCAAAATTTTTAAATACCTTACAATACTTAATCATTAATTCTGTTTTTCTATTTTTGACATCTGGCATGTCTCGAATCTCATTTGGTACATATTCACTTTTACATGGTAATTGATTCCTAAATACGTGTAAAGCCATCTTAATCTTACTTATAACATTTTCACTTAAATTCGTTGTTTGATCTGCACTTTCTGAACTAGGCTGATCGATTGTTTCAGTTTGTTCGTCTATATCTTAATATATCATTAAAAATTATTTCGTAAGATCTCATATCTTATCTTGATCTCTATCTCTCAGAAACTGTGTACCTCGTCTTTTAATATTTTTACGCGAAGAAATAAAACAATATCCATAACGATTTTTTCTTCCAACTATATCACACATAGAACATTGAGTCCATGTAGTCCACGTTGTAGAAATAAGTAAATCATATTTTGATAACATTTGTTCTGGTACCGCATGAGGTTTATGTGGTGCAGTGTCAGGATGTACTATATTTATTTCTTCGGAGTCATGCTCGATTGAAAGATAATAAACTGTTGATAATGTATCTCCCAGCTTACACCAATATCGACCAGCTTGATCAGGCTATACAATTTGATATTATTATCATAAATATATTAATTTTTTTTGTTCTGTTCATTTATGTTTATTTATGTATCATAAATATACATATATAAATACAACAAATTTATACGTATATTTATACTTTGATATTGTATATTATTAATTTTTTGTCATCTGATGAAATTATAATGTTGTCTGATTCTTCTATAAGTTTGTTAGTTTCATTACTGGGCATTACAGAATTATTGCTGTCAAAATACCACTCAAAATTATCGTTCATATATGTTTCCATTGGTGAAATACATATTGGACATTTCAATCTGTAATTACATGAATTAATAATTACAGAGTTATTTCATTCAAACAAGCGTACGTTTAGCGTACATGACTGTTGTTCCCTCAAGAGCTATAAGTGCAATTGGGTACATCATTCTCTCTGTTGTGATTTCATTGTATGTTCTTTTCAAACATTCATAATATTCTTCCCACAACTGTTTGTGCATTATCCTGAGAGTACCATTTGCTCTTGGATATTCAAATTCATTTGTATCGATCAATAACTCAGTCCCTTTGCATAAATGTAATTTTATAAAGTCACAAGTGTTTAATACTACTAAATATAATGTTTATTATTTTTATTTACCTTTTTGTTTGTCAAATATTTCAATCACTTTTTTACGTAGTTGGTCATATTTTCCCCTAAAATTGATTCCCACTACAATTTGGGATGCAATATAATATAAAACGTAAGAAGATATGACAAATCCTACATGCATGTTGCACATAAATCAATGTGTATTTGTAGCATGTGATTTTAATAACATGAAGTTTGTAATACAATAACATGTTGTTTAATATCTTTATTGTTTTGAAAATACGAGCACATTACTCGCGCGCGCGCGCGCGAAAGTAATAGATCAAACAATCATGTCAGCAAATCGTGAATGTTATTTACACAAAAAATCAAATGTACGTCTTTTGTGTACAAAGGAAAACAACAATTTTGATAATCAGCAGTTTGTGAAAGTTACGCCTCTCAATATTAATTATGTATCTCGTATAGATGTTTTGGAAAAGGAAAAAATGAATAATATTATGTATATTAAAGAGTTTCGAAAAGAAGCAAAAAAGGCAAGATTAAAATCTTTGTATGGCACAGATGATTTTGGAAGAATTAAGCCTAAAACTCGACGTCAACATATAAAAGAATTTATAGTGAATACATTAAACGATAGTAGATTTATGGCTATAGATTAACATGCCATCTGAAATATGAAAGAGACTAATTAACTAATAATATTAATAATATTTCTACTATCACATTCTCATAAAAATTAATGTGTAGAAGTTATCGATACAAAAAGAATTGTAAATTCTTCGTAATAAATATTTGATACTACTTTCGTCTCGTATTGTGGTATACATTTCGCTTTTATTTTCGTCTTCAGTAGTGTGTACATACTCTTTGTATGTGAATCATTACATCGAAGCATTCTGCTGCTGCACTTCTATTTCAACATTTCTAAGCATTTTCTTCATAATTGTCACACATACATTTACAGTGAGGAACAAAATTGAATAAGAGAAACCATTTCTTCATTAAATTATTATTTATTTGTTAGGACAGTAAGAAAAAGCTTCAGCAGCTCATAATTCTACATTTGTTGAAGCTTAAGAAATGATTAATATTAATTAATTTTGTTAAATTTTGAGAAGCAGTTATAATACTTTATTTTTAACTTTATTATTTAAAAAAACGTATATTCTTCTTTTCTTAATTCACCAATATTTTCAACAGGAATTTTTATGGAATGTTTATTACAAGAATGTTTATTGATTCTCAGTTCTTAATTATTTTTTATCTTTCTATTTGCTGTGTATAAACCAGCGACGCTATCAATAGCTTCAGCCTTAATCGACAAAAAAATGTTTTTGCAAAAACCTTTCTTCAATTTTTTTTAATGCCTTTTTAGATATTCCAGTGTTAAGTTAAAAAGAACACGTATATCATAATATTGGGCAGAGATAGTATCTATTACAATTGTCAATGTGTATTTTCATTGTATTTATTATTATTTACTTTTTGTTTAGGAGAACAACAATATATCTGGTTATTCAAATCCAGAATTAGATATGATAAGTAAAGACATAGCAGAGCTTGTGCGAGAGAGACAATGTATGGAGCAAGATATCGCACAAAAAGAAGCTGACATCAAGATTAAAAACGGTGAAATCAAGAACCTGCAGAGTGAATTAGATACGCTTGCTTCAACATTAAAACAACTGGAAAATCAGAAGGGCGAAGCACAAAAAAGGTTGAATGACTTGAAAGCTCAGGTAAATGATACTGCAATTAGATACTGTAGATTTAGTAGTCTGCTTGCTTATTTGAGTAGCTTTGCTTTCATGTGAAATTAAAAACCAATGTGTTTATAAAATGTATATGCAATGCTTTCATTTAGGTACATGTAAATGTATACTAAGGTATATGACTTCAAAAGTTTTATATGTCATTGTTACTTGTGATTTGCAGAGAGTATTAATACACTATAATATTACATTGCGCTATGCTTAATGCCTCTTGATAAATGTTTTATAAAATAATTAATGAATGAAAATAGGTGCAAAAAAATATAAACAAAAATTTTTTTATTTCTTATGTAGCACTACAAAAGATTAATTATGTATTTATTTACTTACAAATTGTTTTCAACATTTATATACTCATTTCCT